ATGGAAAATTGTATCGATTAAAAAGGGTGGAGAAAAGCAAGAAGAAGTTTTTGACTATGTAATGGTATGTACTGGTCATCACAACGTTCCTCGATTGCCGAATTACCAGGGGATGGAGACATTCCCTGGTAAGCAGACACATTCTCACTTTTACAAAGAGTAAGTAGGTTCGATTGTTTAATGAGTTTAGCAGATGCGCGCGTTGTACGAAGCTAAATGATGTTATTACAGGCCATTTGACTACATCGACAAACGCATTGTTGTTGTCGGAGTCGGCAACAGGTGAGTGCTGAAATTAGCATATTATGGTTTTATATCGACATCTAACCGTTTTGCCTTGTTTCCAGCGCCTTGGACATATCTGTAGAATTATCTCAATATGCATCACAAGTCTATGTAGTCTCTCGCAGAGGTATCAAAGTCTTGGTTTATTCGTTCATATTACTTATTTATCGCGCGTGACACACTCTACAATCGTGTTTTTGCCTTTTAAGGCAGACTTCCCTGGATCCTACCGCGCAGAGGCCTCTTCGGGCGACCATTTGATCACAGTATCTCGCGCTTTTCCGGTATGCTTCCTGGCTTTATCCGGAACTTTATTGTACGTCTAGTTGTCTCGCTTACTACCGGTCTACCCCCCGAGAATCTCCGTCCGTTATATCCATTTTCCGCTGCTCATCCGACAGTAAAGTCAGATTTTCTTGATCGACTCTCTACTGGAACTATTGCAGTAAAACCCGACATATCGTCATTAGGGAGTGATGGATCTGTGTCGTTTGTTGACAACACAATCGCTGACAACATCGATGCTGTTATTTATTGTACTGGGTACAACTATGAAGTACGCTTTTTGGATAAGGAAATCCTCAGTGGAGGAGATATTGTAAAAGAGAACTTTACCGAAGGAGAATACAGGGAGAATATCGTTTGGCTGTATAGATTTATGTTTCCTCCAAGATATAGTAATATTGCATTTTTGGGATTCATGCAACAGATTGGTGCGATTATGCCGTTATGGTAAGCGAATACAAACCATCGTTACAACAATTTCTAATCGTCTTGCTACAAGTCACTCAATAGCCAGATCATAAAAAATACGCCTTTCCCCTCCTCAATATTTCATAGTGAACTTCAAGCTCGCTACGTAACAGCATTGATCAAAAGCGAGATTCCGTCTCTGCCCTCCCCTGAGGAAATGGACAAGCGCATCATAGCTTACCATGCCCAAAATCGTAAGCAGTTCTATGAAGCGGCCAGACACACTACGGCGGTTATAATGATGCCGTATGCGGATATGATTGCAAAGGATGTTGGATGTTATCCAACATTAACGAAAGTACTATGGAAATATGGATTCGGGATTTGGAGGAGAGTGTTATTTGGCGTTCCTACTCCTATGCAAGTGAGTATATTTAAACTGAGGGAATGAGGATTGTCGATACAGTGCAAGATGACAAGTGTTTAGAGTTGTAACTGTTGTCTGACTATTACAAGTATATATTGACGATCTGCTCTTTCTACACTTAGTTTCGATTGTTGGGACCCGATACGTGGCCCGACGCCGCTAAATGGATTCGTATATATAACAAACGCTGAATATGAATTTGTATAACTGCAATAATGGCGATGGTATAATTTATAGACATATCATCATTTGAAAGAAATCACTGATTCTGCAAAGAAGCGTCTTTGATTTAGTATCTTGGAATCACTAATTCTGTTGGCTTGACAAGTTCTGCTCAACTCACACAGCGACCTCCCCATTTTTTCCGCAAATCTTGGAACGTGATTGGCTAACAGTTAATTTTCCATAAAAA